TTTCTCATAGTGTAAGAAACCCTGCACAAGGCTGCTCATGAGCATGCCATATTCCTAATGTCACTGCTTGGCCCTGAGGTCTGGACCTCCATGAGAGAGTGACATGATCCATTCATGTTTAAGCCCTGTCACACACTGGCTGCTGTTGGGGGAATGACTGCGGAGAGCGGTGGAGGGAGCAGGGAGCCCTGTTAGGAGGGCTCATTACCATGAATAATGGGATCTAGGAGAGAGATGATAGAAGCTCCTGCTGGCTTGATGGCCTGGGAGGTGCAAGATAGGGGTCAGTGGTTCCTGGAGAGGTAATGGTCAGAGCAGATTCACGGTGACAGGAACACATAGAAGTGTCTGGGGACAGCGAGTGGTGTGTTGGCTGGAGCTTAGAGGTTCGGGAAGGGCAGCTATGGGAGATGAAGCTGGGAAGAGGGTTGGCACAGGACTCTTGGAGTTTGGGCTTTCTGCTGCAGACAGGAGGGAGCCTTCTTCCACAGGACTGGGGCTCAGCTTCAGGAAGTGAGTCTGGCAGTGGGGGCAGGATGGAGGGAGGATGCATGAGCACCCATGAGGAGGTCCTGGCTGGCTGCTGGGGACTGATAGCAGAGGTGAGAGTTAGGCTCTATGAGGCTGTGGTTCCCACACTTTATCTCTGATTGCTGAGTGCCTCCATGCCTGAAAAACCATGGCTGGGGCTCTGCTCAGCCCTCACTCCTAGGAGAAGCCGCTCCAGGTTCTCAGATAGTGAGATAAGCTGGTGCTCTGCACCAGGGCTGAGATCCACCCTGATTCCAGCTCCCAATCCCTTCCTCACCCTGGGAGGGTCTGACAGTTGATCCCCAGGGCCTCCCTGACTACATACTTCTGCACCCAGTTAACCCTTCTGGGCTGAGCTGGAAATCTGAGCCTCAGCTCTCAGAAGAGAGGTTGTGGGATTGGCAGAGGGGCACAGGGAGCTCCACAGGGAGCAGTCATCCTCTTCACTCCAGGAGCTCGGCAAAGGCTGGCTTTGGCCTTAGCCCAGAGAGAATGCTAGAAAGAAGGCAGGGACAGAGTGAGACCAGTAACCAAACCCATTCAGGACCTCCTATCCCCATCCCCACCCCACCTATCTGCCATGCTTTTTCTTTAGTTCACTGCTCAGTTTGGGCTGAGCACTAGTCATGTTGCTTTCCCTCTGGGTAATTCTAAGCTATTTATTTAGCTGATCCCAGGCTCAGTTTACCCATCCATACAATGGAGGCCCCCAAGCTGCACTCCACCCCTAACCCTCAACCCCCGCCTTCACCCCCCGCCCCGCCCCAATCTGATTACTTCCATTTCCACATTGCCTTTTATGAAGAAGATGATCAGTGGCAGTCTCCCTTGGGTTCTAGTCTGGCTTGGACACTTACAGCTGTGAGAGCTTGGGTAAGTCACGTGTCCCTTCAGCTCTATAGAAGCTCTGTACACTCTCACGGTATTCCTTTTCATTTCTGTTATTGAAAACGCATGTGAGCTCTGAGTTGAGAATCCTGGTTCTCCCAGTGAGTTGCCGTGTGATCCTGGGAAGAGAGGCCAGTTTGGGCTCTGCCCCCATTCTTCATGGTACATGGCCCTTGTCTGAACCCCTTTTCATGAGGGACATTTTCTTCCCCAGTTCTCCTGCCAGCCAACCCCACCCAGGAGTCAGCACTTCTCAGGAGCAGAATGAGCACAGAAACCAAATTCTCCAGAAAGGTGTGTGTGTATGGGGCAGGTGAGGATTCATTAGGGTGCCCTGGATCTCGGGCTGTCTAAGTGGCACACAAAATGCTCTACTATAGGATCCCTCAGCCCAGAGGGACACAGAAATGGGGCCTCTTCATGCTGACTGTTGTGTTCTGAGAAGAGAGCTTCATTTTCCTCCTAAATCACCAACTAGCCCAGACTTGGGCTTGGAGCCACCACGTTTAATTCATACTTGGGCAAATGACTGCTTCTTAGGGAAGGTACAGTGACTAGAACCCAAGGTCCCCAAAGTGGCTCAGCAGGGAGTCAGGAGCCTGGGTTCCTGCCCTGGCTCTGACCCCCCCAGCTTTCAAGATGATTTCTGATACACTCTGGTTGAATGTCACTGTCACAGTCACCTGTAAGACTGGCAACATGAGGTAAGATACATTCTAAGAGCTAGGATTCCAAGACTCTAAATTACACCCAAGGGAGGAGGTGAAGGGCTCCACTCTGGCCCTCTCTTCTCTCTGCAGCCATCTCTGGTTGGGGTTCTTGCTCAGAAACAGGAGGCTACTGGAAGTTGTTCTGGGGTCTCTGATCTCAAAAGCATAACACATTTTTTCCCCATTTCTCTAAAGCCCTGCCTCTCTGTTTAGGGCATATGAACTGCTGGAGGGTCTTGCTGAAATGCAGGTACCCAGTAGATCTGGGTAGGATCTGAGATTCTGCATTTCTAGCAAGCTCTCAGGGATGCCCATACAGCTAGTCTGTGCCCCACAGACTTAGAGCTGCAAGGCCTGAGGGCCTCAGGCTTTTGAGTAAAACAGCAGGGAGGGCAAGCCTCCGCTGTCAGCCCTTGGAGAAGTGCATTCTGGATTTGAATGACCAAAAAAAGAGGAGTTCAAGAATGTGAGGGTGAAAGGGGACCTGCCACCTAGCTTTGTAGATAGTGAAACTGAGGCCTACCCAGTGCAGGAAGGAGCTTGTTCAAGATTTCACAGTGTTTCACTGACAAAGTTGAGACTCAGGCCTCTCGCTTAAGAAAAACAAAAATAAACAAAAACGAAAACTAGAAAAGATACTCACTGAGGTGTTTGCTGTGCTTTCCCTGGGTGAACTATGGGTTCCTTTGATTCTAAGTGTTTTTTTTTTTTTACAATGAACATGTACCAATTTTGTAATTAGAAAAAATTAATTTTAATAAAAGAAAATTCTTACAAACTTATTAGTAAATGAGATTATGTTCATGAACGTGCTAGATAAACCGTAGTTACATACAGCAGCTTCGCGTCATGGGTGTGTAATTCAGCCCAAATCCTCTCGAGTTCATTTCAGCGAGGTTTCCCTTACTCTTTCTGGCAGGAATCACCGAGATGAGGAGTAAGACCAGTGCCATCAGCGTCCTCAACCACCGCAAGCAGCCTCCTACTCCTTCTTCCCCTCTGCTCTCTGAGCTCCTCCCGCAAAACTCTGGCTGCAGGAATCTTTCCCCTTAAATTGGGAAAGAAGTTTCTTTAATCCGTTTTCGTAGTAAACGACCTCGAGCCAAGTCTGCTTTTGTTGCTGGTTTCCTAAGCTTAATTGCAAGCAAAGTTAATTTGAAAGAAAATAAATGTTACAGCTCTGGGGCGAATTCTAATGAGCCTTGGGCAATTAGGGAAGAACTCATCTAATTACCCACAGCCCGGGGGTCGCCTGCACACGATGCTGGGGATCCGGGGCCCAGAGAGGGGCAAACGACTTTTCTGGTTTCGTAATAGGAAGAAGAGAAGAGGAAACGCACCTCCCGTCTCTGAGCACCTAGACAGAGAACCGGGGAGGTCCGGTTTCACGGTTTGAGGATTTGGAGAGTTGTCCAGAGACGCAGCAGGCAATGTTCTCAAGGTCCTAGAGTCACGCGGATCAGAGGGTCGGCCCGACCCCTCTGTGGTAGAAGTGCGAGCGGTGCTCACTCGCCTGCGCCGCGTCCATCCTGGCCAGGCCCGGGTGGCGAGCGAGCTTTGTGTGTCGCCGGCCCGCAGGAGGCCGAGAAGGGCTGACGCTCTGTCTTCAATGCCTCCAGGGTCTCGCCGTCTCTGCCGGCTCCCGCTATACACACCCAGTTCCCTCCTCGCAGCGTCTCCTCTCTCAGCGAACAGACTCTCGCTTTTGGCGCGATCTCACCAGTTGTCCTCGTTGACAAGGCAAATTGGGGGCGAAGACGCGTGCACTTTTCCTCCCCATCTTTCTCGTCCCCGGCTTTACCGCCACTCTCCAGGAGGCTTCGGGATAAAGGTGGTGCTTTTTTAATGTTAAAGCCTTTCCTCTCTCATGTTCCCAGCGCTTTACAGTGTACAAAGCGTTTCTACCTCTCTTGATTCATTTAACTTCAGGAGGACTCTGTGAGGAAGGGGTCACAAATTCCCATTCTCAAATTAGGACATTAAAGAAGGGACTGGCTTAAGGTTAGTGGTGCTACCAAAGACCTCGACTTGGTAATTAAAACCCAGAGAAAGGGTCAACACCTGCACTAACGGGTGCATAGACAACTCTCCAGCCCCAGTCCCCTAGCTGGGTTTCAGGCGGCCAGGAAGGACAAAACCCCAGGGTGGAGGGGTTTCAATTTCCCGCTACAGCCAACAGCAAGGCACTCTGATTTCTGCCTGAGAGAACCAGAATCCTTTGAATTTCAACCTGCAAGGGTCCAAAAGAAGATGAGGGAGACGTAACATCTAGATTTTTCCAAGGTCACAAGGCTGGGCCTGATATCTGGACCCACTGGCAGTAGGGTGAGTGCTGCAGCTGCCCCTAGCCTCCAGATGGTCGTTTACCATCACCGAAGTCAGGAAGGACCAGTCTCTAGACCAGTACTGTCCAATATAATAGCTATCAGCCACACACTGCTATTGAGCACTTGGCATGTGATTAGTCCAAATTGAGATAAGCTGTAAGTGTAAAGTATACTCCAGATTTTGAAGACTCAGTATGAAAAAAGTAAAATATCTCAACACTTTTATACTGGTTATATGTTTAAATGATAGTCTGGATATATTGGGTTAAATACAATATATTATTAGTTAATCTCACCTGATTTCTTTTTATTTTATTAATGAGGCTACCGGAAAAAAAATTTAAATTACATAAACAGCTTGCATTATATTTCTGTTGGGCAGCACTGGTTTAGACAAATACCTGTCTGGCCTGAATCATATTCACATGTCTTTATGAACAGGATAGAGCAGTCCCCGAAATTAAAAATTACCAATGGTTTTCAGTCTTCTTTCTCACCCCCTCCACCCTTCCTTAGCAAAGAGGTTGCATTTCTCTTGCCAGAACTCAATTACTCAAGATTTTTATTAAAACAGTTCATCTGTACACTCAGGTTTATCTGAAAGCTGCACACTAAGCCTCTGAAATATTTAATGCTGGAAAATTTAGCCCCAGAATCAAAACTTACAAGATTTCTCAAAAGAAAGGTGTGATAGTGGTTGGATTTTTTCCCCAATTTTGGTCAGCTTGCTGCTTGAAACAAACAAATGGATACAAAACAAATTTAAACACCAGTTTCTTTCTAAAGCTTACTTAACTGACCACCCCAATTAGTTTTTCTCTTTTCTTTTTGCACAGAGGCTGCTAAGGTACCTCAGAGGGTGCCAGGGATGGAAGAGCCAGCCTGACATACTGAAAGCTGTCACCAACAGACTCCCCTGAGTCCTGTCGTCTCTTTGAATTTTAGTTCACCCATTGGGTCTGGGGCTGTTGATGAAAAGAAAGAGCGGGCAATGGACAAATGTATTCCTATATGCCTCATTGGAAAACTGCATTTGTGAACCAGCAGTAACAGCTGCCGAATGATCAGCACATCATGCTCAAAAGAGTCAAGAAATTACGATATAACCGGTGTTTGGAGCTAATCCAGAGACTTTTAAGTTAGATGTTTGCCATAAGCTCTGTTCTCATTCCCTGGAATACGATTAGGCCCTGGGTGACCCACCCATGCTGCCAAATATGCAGGGTAGCAACAATGATGATGGGCACTTAAAGATCATATGCGGGACCATCGAATTCTGCAGCTCTCTGGTATAACAGATGGGGAAACTGGGGGTGTGAGTGATGGGAGTGGGTGACATTGTGGAGCTGGGGTACAGTCCAGACTCGGAGCCAGGTCTGCGGTTCTCAGAGGCAGGGAAAACCAGCCCCTGGTCAAGCGAAGCATAGAGATTTCTTTTTTCCCATTAAAAAAACCCAGGTACTTGTTTTGCAAATTTGTCCTCCTCACCTTAAGTAGGAAGGCGCTATTGGAGTCTTTTATTGTCGTAAGTAGTCAAAGGCACAAGAGTCCAAACTGTGTGAAAGGACCCGAATTTCCTGAAGTACAGGGAAGAGTGAAGTCATGTTATTCCCCACAATTCGGAGACCCCAGACTCTGATGTAGACACTACATAGCGCCCGCTTTATAGCCAAGGACCCTTCCTAATAGAATGTCAGAAAGGCACGTCCTTTGGAGCTTCGCCTCAGTGAGGGTCCACTGTCCCAGTCTGTGGGCCGCGGATGCCTCTCGTCAACTCTTCCCATTTTCAAAGCGTACCAGTGTGTACACGGTGCACGAGGAGGCTGCGCCTGTCCTGGCGGCTCGGTCCCTCCCTTGTGGCTTTCAATTCGGTCCTCTCTTTAGTCCCGTCCTCAGGTTTCGCGGATACTTAGTTCATAAGGACAGTCGAGGTATCTATGAATTTTCGCCCTTATGCTCGGCTCACATGGCGGACACGAACCGATCTACTCCGCCAGGATAGGCGGCCGCATGGCGAGCATGGTAGGTACCTCCACTGCCCGCTCCGAGCTGCCCACCAGGATTGTAGCAGGGCCCCAGCGCTCCGAACTGGCCAGGCGATGTGCGTCCATAGAAGTCCACTGCGGGCTCGACGCCGCCACTGCTGCCACCCGTTGGGGGAGAGGCGGGCCCGGCCAACCGGCCAGCCGCTGCGAAGAGGGCGCTGCCCGCCCCTTGCGGGTACGCGCCGTCAGGGCTGGAGTAGGCAGCCGCATAGGCGGAGGGGTTGGCAGGTCGGGCGCCTGCGCAGCCGGCGGGCTGATAGCCGGTGGTCGTGGCAGAGGCGCCGGTCGAAGCAAAGGCGCAGGAACCCGCTGGCCCTGACGGAGCGGGGCCTAGTTCTGGGCTGAGTGACCGCTCTGGCACCAGGCCGAAGACACGGCACGGGCCTGGCGACGCAGCGGGGTAGTAGACCGGGGGCGCCGCAGCGAGCGATGGCGGGGCGTAGCCTGCATAGACGGCGCCCGGGTAAGGCGGTCGCGCAGCGGGCACCGCGCCCGGGAAGATGGCGGCGGCGGCGGCGGCGGCGGCGGCGGCGGCGGCAGCGGCCGCGTCTTGCATGTAAGCGGGGTAAGTGGAGAGGTCGGAGCGCTTGAAGCGCTTTCGGCGGCGCAGGAAGCTGCCGCTCTCGAACATGTCCTCGGCATTGGGGTCGAGTGCCCAGTAGTTGCCCTTGCCCGGTCGGCCGGCCTCGCGCGGGATCTTGAGGAAGCAGTCGTTGAGCGTGAGATTGTGGCGGATGCTGTTCTGCCACTTTTTGGGGTTGTCACGGTAGAAGGGGAAACGCTCGGTGATAAACTTGTAGATGCCGCCCAGCGTGAGGCGGCGCTCCGGCGCGTGCGCGATGGCCATGGCAATGAGCGCAATGTAGCTGTAGGGCGGCTTTCCGCGCTGCAGGGGGCGCTTCCGTCTCCGCCCGCCCGCGCCGCGACCCGCAGTCTCCGCCGGGACCCCGGGACCTGCCTCACCGCGCTCCTCCTTCACGGCCGCCAGCGCCTCCGGCTGCGGCGGCGGCGGTGGCGGCCCGCTCTCGGCCGTCATGGCGCAGCCGTCGCGTGTCCCCGCTGCCCGCTGCTGTCCAGGTGCGGGGGCGAGCCTGGGAGCTGCTGGGCTTGGGACGGAGGATCACCAGAACGGACCCTGGGCCCGTCTGCGGAGAGCTTAGCGGGTCCTCGCAACTGGCACCGGGAGCACAGCTTCCCTCCCAGGGGCGCTCTGGAGGCTTGGCGCCCGCGGTTTCCGGGCTGGCTCAGTGCAGACACAGGCTCAGGAGTATCCCGCTCACCGACGGCTCTGCTCGTGTTCTGGAGCTCGAGGCCAGGCGCCGACAGCGACGTGACGTTTGAACCGGGACTAGGCTCCCGTCGCGGGCCGAAGGGTCTTTTGCGCACGATTGCCAGGTGGTCAAGGGGCCCGGAATTGATCCTGGAGCTGGGGCGCTTGCAGCTGGTCTGGGCTTCCAGCTGATCTGAGGATAACCGTCGAAGCCGTGCGCGCAGAGGAGGCTGCGGGCCCCAAGGCCTGAACCGAGGGCAGTTACTGCAGCTGTGGGGGCATTCTGGTGGAGGCTGCCCAGGCTGCGCCCCTGCGGCTGGGGCTGTGAAAGGCGCAGAGGGCAAGGAGGCGAGACGCCAGCTGCGAGGTCGCGGCGCGGGCCAGGCGGGACGGCTGGCGACTGTTCCTCTCCTCGGCGTTGGCCCCCAGCCGCCAGGACCGCTGGCGAGGTGCTCCCCTGCACATACCAGGACCGGCTCCTCCCTCTGCAGGCTTCTCCTCCTTAAAGGCACCAGGAAGCTTGGGGCGGTGCCGGTTCCCCTCCCACCCCCCGACTGCCCGCCCCCAGGGCCCTGGCGCACCTCCCCAGGTAGGAGCAGCTGTGGAGGCGAGGCGGGAGCACCACACCGTCCGAGCGTGGAGGGCGCTTGGAGATCTCTCGGGTAGGTCGTCTCTGCGCACCGACGGGGAGACTGAGGTCGGGAGAGGCCAGGGACTGTCTCTGGAGACCGTGGCGCTCGAACTCAGCGCTTCTGGACTTTACCAGTCTCTACAGAAGGCTAGGACCCTCAGGTGAAAGGAGGGGCTCACTTCACTTTTTTGGTCCGAGAGGGTGATAATTGGCTGAGGGAGAGCTCGGTTCTTGAGGGCGGGGGACGAGGAGGGGAGAAGATGTTCCAGGTGACTGACGCCCAGAGTCTTTCGAGAATGATTTTCAAACCTAAAGGCAGATCTTCCCTGGCCAATCCCCATCCAGTCCTTCATCTTTCAGATGATTCCTAGGTCTGATAGAGGAGGTGGCTTGCCACGGCTCCACCGCGACTTCGCGGCTTAGCCAAGCCTCACACCAGCCTGCGTCTGTTAGGACTGCATTTCCCCGCCATGTGCCAAGGGCAGTTATTTTCCCTCTGTGGCTCCCAGGTTCCTCGACTGTACCGAGGTTTTGCATCTCAAGTGTCCTTCCATTGCTGATACTTAGGGAGAGGCTGCCCGTCCCGAGTTACTCAAAGACTCTAATCGTCTTTGAGTAACTCGGGACCCGTCTATATGATGCGGAGTAGCGCACAGCTTAGAGAGGATGAAGGCTAGGCTTCTGCCCTCTCGCGGTAAACTTCTCCAGTTTGCTCAGGCCAGGGAGGGCTCCAGGTGGCTCCCAAAACCTCCGGGGGCAGCCTAGCAGGCCCTTCCCCTGGTGGGGCGTGAAGGCTGAGAGAGATGAGTGCCGGGGGGTGGTGCGCTGGGTGAGCGCGTCTGCCGGGGAAGGGGCGGGCAGACGCGACCGGTTCGCTCTGCGATTGTCCGAGTTCCTTTCCTGCCAGCCCCCTAAGGCCATATTCCGGCCTCCCCCGAGACTGCTTGCGGCGGCGGCCCCGCAGGTCTGGGTTCGCTTTGTAGTCATTCGCGGGGAGGCCTTGGACCTGTCCCTTCACAGTTGCAAGCCCTCAATTTTCTCCTCTGTGAATCGGGAGCAGGAGAGCATGTGCAGATCTCGGGGGCCCTTTCTACCCTTAGGATTTCGGGCCTTGATGCCAACTCCAGAGGCTCCGGCCAAGACGCAGCTTTCCGCGGGGCTGCGAGTGCAGGGCAGGGCGGAGCGAGGCGCAAGAGCGCGGGCGGCTGGCCTTCAGGGGTTTTAGTCGCGTTCTTCCTGGAGGTGAGCTCCGGGCAGGCTCAGCCTCGCCAAGTATTGGGCAACTGCCTTCGGAAAAAAGAGGCAAAAAGTCCAGGTCCTCGCTCCGCCGACCTGAGTGTGGAAGCAGTTGAACAGTTTGCATGAAGACATTCCTCGGCGGATTCGAGCACTTATCCCGAGGGCTGAGGGCTTTTCACTCGCTCAACGAAACTCCCAGCTTCCTTCTTCCAAAGTAATGAAGATGCGAAAACCCAGGTTTCTTCTTGTTACTTTTTTTCAAAGGGAAATAAAAAGTTTAAAATTTCAACTAGATTTTATAGCAGTCTTTTAAAACTGGATTTTGTGGTTTTCTATTTCCAAGGTTCGGGTTTCCAGATGTTAGATTTGGGGACCACTATCCTAATGTGAATCCGTAAATCAAAGAACGTGATTCTGTAATTCTAAGATTCCATGACCAGACATTAAATTATTTCACTGATTATGTTCCTGTGACTTTAAGCATCTAGTCAAAGTGTAAAAGCGTATTCCTCATATTTTCAGATACTAGGAATAAGATTTTTGTGCTAGAAACTATGATGCCGCTATTGGGAGTTGCAGCTTCTCTAGGTTTTAGACATTTTTGCAGCTCTAAGGTATACATTACTTAATTTGAATTTCAGTCTAGGAATGTCTGATTGGAAGATTTGGGTCCTAAAAGTCCACGACTCTCGTCTTCTTTAATTCCAAAACATAGGTATTAGATCCACTATTCAGTAATATAAATAATCTAATTCTAATAATTCTTATGATATTTGTAACCATATGCTTTAATGACTTTATGACTCTCTACTTTTAAATTCCATGTCTCAGGATATCTTGAGCTTCATTGTTTTGTGTCTGTGGACACATTCTTTTAGAAATCTGATTCCTTTTTTGAAACTTTGCAGCTATTAAGCTGTACCTGTGCATCAGACTAAGTCTTAGCATACTGAGATTAGCATTATAAAGAGCATGATCATAGATGTGTATATATATAACTTTATGCCCGAAACTAACACATTATATATCAACTATATGTCAATAAAAGATCATGAGTCTAAGATTTTCATGAACAAAGGATCCTAAAAATTCTATTCCATAAATGTTTTATTCTAATAATACATTTCAAAGTTCTGTGAATCTATGATGTAAAATTTGAATTAAATGATTTGAGTTAACTGGGACGTTTTACCCGTTTGGATCAAAACTATACATAGAGATCCCCCCAATGCCAGACCATTTCCCTGATTTTCTCTTGTCCAGTCTTCCCCCTTCTCTGCTTCAGTGCTCCTTAATGTATATAGGGTAACAGACCCCACTGAGAGCCATTTGAAAGCTACGGGGTGGGTTCCAGTTCCTTGGATGATTCTTCTGTTCCAGCAGGGGTGGGCTGGTGTTGTGCCTGCCTTCAGCCCTGCATGTATCCTCCGTGACTTTTTGGAAAAACCTGCCCCCTCACAGGCTATTTTATGTTCAGTTTTTTGCGGGGGATGAGGGAAGGAGTGCTGATGATCTGTAGAAAATGCTGGCAGACCTTCCTCAACTATTTTACTGAGTTTTGAAGTGTCTTTGGAGGGTTTTGTAAATATAAAGGAGGGGATCCAGGGAGTCCTGGAAAATTCCTCCATATCCCTTGACCCAGATGCCCCTTCATGCAAATGCAGAGGTAGCTCCTCCCCCTCCCTCCAACACACATACCCCTTAAGGAAATCTTGGAAATTCTATCTGGAATTTCCAGGAAGGAAACTAGGCTCAGACTGCTGAAGGGACTTGCTTAAAGTCTTGCAGAGGAGATTCTACACTGAGAGGGAAACTCAGGTGTTCTGGCCCCTCTGTCTTTTCCTGAGTTCTCAGAGCCTCACTTGTGCTTAATGGCCTGGCCTGGGCCAGTCTCCTTACAGGGTGACAATGGAAACCCCAGGCCCAGATGCTTGCAAATCAGATCCAAGAATCTCAGTACAGGGGGAACATAGTGACCTCTGTGTGGGTTACTCTGAGACAATCAGGTTAGTGGGCTATATGGCCTCAGAGTACCACAAAGGGGGTGGGTCCTTTGTCACACTCAGCCCAGCCAATGGTCACAGCAGTGGCATGGAGTGAGAGCTCTGATTATAGCTAGCTCATTACTGGCCCAGCAGCTTTGAGCCATCTGCTGCCCTTCTTAGGCCCCAGTTTCCCCATCTGTGAAGTGGAGGACTCCCTACCTGCCCTCCCTCTTCCAGGGAGTAGAGAGGATGGAGTGGAGCACATCGCCAACCTGTGATCGTTTTTTTTGTCTTTTAAGTTGTTTTCAGGGTGAAACTTTGTTGTGAAAAAAAAGACAAGCTGCGGGGGAAAATTCAAGTCTTTCCCACTCATGGGCGGACATTCATCAAAATTCAAGTCTTATCTTCTCAAAGAAGTAGCGGTTGATTAAAGTAAAATGTTTTCTGCCCGCCTAGCAGGGAGTATGTGAGTGTGTATGTGTGTTTGTGTATGTTAAATGGTGATTCCAGTTTTCGAGATCTGCGTGGATGTAGACTTGTTCTGTTCCTACCGAGGTGTGGGGACCTCCGAGCTTGGTCAGGGCAATGCAGCTATTAGCGCTTTCTTGCCATTGGTTCAGTTAAACACTGTGAATAGAGAATTATCATCACCCCGGGACCCGGCTGAGAAACTGGAACCCAGAGAGGGGAGCCTTCTTCCCATCACGCTGCTTAGCTTGCACCCTGCCAGCAGCCTCCTGGCTCACCTCCAGGATACTCCCAGTACCTGCCTCGGAGCCGGAGCCGTCTCCCAACCCTGCCCTCTGGTCCCCAGAATGGGGAGTTCAGGAATCGGCTGTGACCTCCAGGAGCTCCAGTGGCTGCGGTGAAAAAGGCAAGCCGACTCGGAGAGGACGGGGACTTGTCCCACCCCGCACACTGAGTCCCGGATGGAGCTGAGCCTGAGCCCGGACCTCAACTTTGCCCCCGCCCCCAGGTTAGCTCCTCCACGTTTTCTCTGGCGCTCAGCGAGCATTCTGAGCCGAGAAATGCTCAGACCTAGCCAGGCCACCGGGTAGGAGAGAGCTGGGCTGTGGCGGTGGGCTCTCCCAAGAAAGACTTGGCCCCCAGCAGAGGTGGTGAGGACTGGACCCAGGAATTTTCAGCGAGGCCAGCAGGTGCACCCTCGATTAGATTCTAACACCTGGGGCACAGGAGCGACCGTCTGGGATCGTAGGAGCCCTCCGGATTTCTTGGCTTTTCTGAGCTCTATCCAGGGCTTTGGGACTCCGAGAAGCCCGGAATTTGTGCAAAACACCGTGACTCTTCATTTGGGCAACAGAGTTCATGGTTTGCAAGACAATCTTAAAAGGGCCAAAATGCACTAGCCTGGTTGGCCAGGCTCAGCCCGGAGCCCCAGGCTTCTGATTCGAATCCTTGCTGCCTCTTCTGGCCAGCACCGTGGCCAGCATGGCGGCTTGCCCCGAAGCTCAGTCCAAGCTCCTGGGGTGGGGGTAGGGGTGGGGACGGGGTGGTTAGAGCTTGATAGAGTTCCTGCTGCCTCAGGCAGGTACCAAGCCCAGCTGGCTGGTTGCTCGGTGCCCACAGCGCCACACTTGT